AGTGCTCTTCACGCCGAACAGTGTCTTGGAGCGCTTATAGATTGTACAGCATGGTGACTGTATTTATATGCGAACTTGACATTGAATTGTCGCACAACAATGTCCCACAAATGGACAGGAAATGAATGATCAGTTATTGGCAAGAACACAAGGAGAAGCTCCCTTGTCTATTTGAAATGTTCACCTTAACAGGGAAACAGGACCTTAGTTTACCATGTTATACCATGTTATAATAAATGGAATCTTGTTGTATCTGAACAACTGCAACAGTGCAGCACCACTCCTGGCACTGCACTGGAGTGTTAGCCTAGACTCTCAATTCAAAGTCATGATGTGGGGCTTGAAGCCACAACCTGCTTGAACCCACAACCTGCTTGAACCCATAAGCGCTCGCTCCAAAACGCGTGAACAAGACCTATATAAATGCAAGTTGTTGTTGCTGCTGACTCGTATGTTATGATGATGAAAGTTTAGACTAGTGAGATTAATTTGCACTACAATTGCCAACTAAGCCAAAGTGTAAAATAAACTGTTTTCTTACAAGTGGGAACAATGTTGGTACAGTGAAGGAACATCTAAAGGACCTTGAACAGCGGGATGCAGTTTGCTGTGGATCAAAGCATTCCTATTGACCAAATTATATTGGTGGTCACAGAATCTCTGCTCTCATAGCGAGTTTACAGAAACTGATTTTTTAGATCATCTGTTGAAATGGAGTCCTGTACCTTAGTGGTTAGAGCACTCACCTCGCAAGCGGGAGGACCTGGGTTTGATTCCTGGGCAGGGCGAAACGTTGGGCAAGTTTCCTTACTCCACACGCCTCTGTTTATCCAGCAGTAAGTAGGATCCTGGTTGTTAGTCGATTGGCGGATCGCTTTTCCAGGGTTAATAATCCCTCCAAACAAAATCAGCGACTATTTGTGGGATACTGTTGTACACAATTGGCTGCCAAGTTTCCCCCACAAAATATACAGTCAATTCACTTTCCAGTATATTATGTGAAGTGCTTTCAGATGTCTCAAAGGCGTGATTAGCACTATAATAATAATAATAATCCTTGCATTTGATATAGCGCTTTTCACGTCTTCTCGACGTCTCAAAGCGCTTCACAGAATATGCTGTAAAGTGAATTGACCGTATATTTGTGGACAAATATATCAAATACAAGGATTATTATTTTTTATAAATGCTGATCCTGTTATTTGGAAAACAAAGTTGAATCACATCCGAATGACCAGTCAGTACCATAAACAGCTATAAAAGCAGCTGAAATGCACTCTGTACGTGACTTGATTACTATCTTTGGTTCCAATAAATACTGTACATACTCCATCTTTTGTTTCCTGGCTCCCATGCTGATCATTTTCTATGAATTTTATACACAATCAGAGGTATAGCCCTATATAACCTCCAAAAGATCTAGATTCTTCAGAATCAGCCAGTTTCCCGCTCAATGAAAGCAATAGCTGACTTCCAGGTGATTAGTACATCTGCCGCCAACAGATGTACTGTATGGTGACCTAATGAACTAGATGTCGAGGTGAATGCAGAAGTGCTGACTGTCAATCACCCTCGTTGTAATGTGTGTTACAATTTTATGGACCCAAACTACCATCATATAACTGGATTCTACCCATCCTTTGGATGAGACCTTAAACCGATGTTCCATCTGCCTGTCCAGGTGGATGTCAAAGATACCAAGGCATGATTCAAAAAGAGAAGGACGTTTTTACCTGTTTCTTGGCCAACAATCCCTCAAATAAAGTTGGCCACTCACTCCATTGCTGTTTGTGGGACATGGCTGTGTGCATACTGCCTCCTGCGTTTGATCACAAAATACGACGACACCAATTTCACCACTTTACCGTAAATCATAAAATTGGTCCTGTGAAGGGTTTTGGGATGTCTTAACAGTGTGATAAGGTGCTATATCAAATGCAAAGATTATTATATAATACTGTTAATTTGCCAAGAGATATTTGTCTCTGTAAATTTATGAAATTTTACTTAATGGCAATATGCATAACGATTGTAATTAAACCTTGACAGTAATGCCTGAGTGCACTGTGATGCTTGTTTCGTGCTTAGGAAAGATTTGGATGTTAATAACACTCACTTGAGTAGTATTGTTGCCATGGAAACCTGGTTGTGACCATGTAATCCAGAGCTCTGACTTATTTCAAATACGGAAATACATTCATATCTTTTAGAAAATAAGGGTCAACCTAGCTCAGTTGACAGTACTTTCTCTTGCTTATTATATCTACTCCCAGAGTTTTGGAGAAAATTAACAAAAGCCAAGGCTTGCGGACCCGAGAGTGTGTCTTGAGGGCACTGCTGGAGTTTAACCAGATAAAACCAGTTTATTGGTGAGTTTCAGTAAGTTTCCCCTGCTTTTCCAGCTCAGACCACCAAACACATTAATAATATAATAATCCTTGCAAATTTTTTGTTATAAATCAGATTGCAGAGGATGATGAGTGGCTTATTCTTTCAGTTCACATTCTTTAATCATGCTTGGTGCTAAATCTTACAATGCGGCATTAGATAGATTTACATGGGTCTGTACAGCATGGAAACAGCCCACACGGCCCAACCAGTCCAGGCTGATTTTTAAAAAAATTTACATTACAATATAGTATATTTTGTAAAGCGTTTTGAGACGTCTCAAAGACATAATAAGGCTCTATATGAAATGCAAGGATTATTATCATTATTCTCCACATGAGACTCCACCCACTCATTACTCCCTCCCATACCCTCCTATTCCTTCCCCTCTCATGTGTGATATCTAGCTTCCCCTTGAAGGCATCTACATTATCAGATTCAACCACCACTTCACCCAGCGAGCACCACATTCTCACTCCCCTTTAATACTAGATGTTACAGTAAAATACAAATTTAAAGACTTGAAACCTGCCTAATGTAAAAATCACACCAACATTAGAATAATTGCACAGACCCTGTTGGTCAGGGTGTAATAGACATTGCTACTGATGGAGGTAGCTTGACATCTTTCACTGACATATATCCAGCCTAACTGAATGTAAATGCAAATAAGACTAATATCAATGAGGGACTTGTAATGAATTTTGCTGTATAAGGAAGGCTCAGCTGATCTGGAACAAACCTATTAACAGTAAAACCACAGGTAATATTTTCTTCTGGTAAATACAAAACCTGGTTCATTTTGTGTTAAGTCACAACATGAGTTAAATCAGCTATCATGTAGGTTTTTACAATCTGCAAAGCTGGGAGTGGGCTGTGAACCAGTACAAATGAATGGGCAAGTTTAATGTCGCAGATGTGACCAAATAGCCCAGCGTTTATACTGCCTAAATATTATCCTAATTACAGTGCACAATGCAGCCAGCAAATCCTTTCATCAACCAGGATTTGTCATTATGCAATGGTGTTAGCATCATACTCCTAATAGTTTGATTAATTGACTTGTGTTTGTTATCACAACCATTTGTGTCTGTCTGTTTGCTGCAAACTTGCTTCATTTATTCAGCTACAGAATGTAATTCTCATACTTGTAATCCTGCTGGATTTCAAATGTATGATCTATTTATATCTACAAATTGCTGCTCATGACATGCATTAGGGTAGTGTGGAAAGCAGTCTGAGACAGACCGATAATCAGTCGAGTCTGTGGAAATTGCTTCAGTGAATGATACGGTTAAGATATTTTAGGAGATTACCAACTGTACAGGTAATTCTATGACCCAACAGTGTGCTTTGGATTTTGATGCAAATCATGCATTATTGGTATTGTCAGTTATATAATCATAATCCGTGCGTTTGATTTAGTGCCTTATAACGTCATCGAGACACCTCAAAGCTTTTACAAGAATTTTTACTGTAAAGGCATACTGACTGTAGTTTTGTAGGTGAAAGTGACAGCCAATTTGCACATAGCAATATCCCAAAGACAGCCATAAAGTGAATGTTTAGTTAGGATTGCCCAATCCTCATGATTGCAAATTTGAGTTCCAGTCTTGACCGACGTCTTTGCTTGCGTCCATTGATCAAGTTTCACCAAGTTTTCTCTGAAGCACGAGAAAGCTTCATCTCAGGAGATATTAAAAAAAAGCTGCCAGCCCTTGAAAAAAATCTAGCTTTTAGTCCTTCCTGCTGAGCAAAGAGCAGTGTAGGAGGGCTATACATACATCTGCAGCCAAAGATTTTCCCGAGCTAATAGCAGAAGGAGTAGGTGTGGCACCAGAAGGTAACGGGGGAGGGGGGAGACTCAAAAAGTAAGCGGATATAAATAACAAAGATAACAGCCATTTATTTGAGATGCATTTCCTGTGAGGTTAAGTTCAAATGGAGGTCAAGGTTATATTTCAAGTCTGTCTGATTTTTGTCAACAAAATATACAATCGATTCACTTTACAGTACATTCTGTGAAGTGCTTGGAGATGTCGCAAAGACATGATAAGGCGCTATATCAAATGCAAGGATTATTATTATTTATTACAGCACATACCTTGTTCTATTTCCTCTTGTTTCTGTTCATGAATAAATTTTGGTGCATGTTGTCATAAAATACCCACATCTGACTTGGTAACCAGACAAGGTACTGCAGCTATTCCTCTCACATTAAAGTGTTTCTAATTTATAAATGATTTAAACTTTTATCCCTTTGAAATTAGTATTCCATAGTATTTATCACTTATCAAATTAGTATTGGTAATCATGAAACTTTGGTATTTTGGGGGTTATTGCAGGTCATTTTAATATGTGGTACAGTAAGTAGTGCTGTGTAATCTTTTTTAAAAAGTCTTATTGCTTGCCTACTCAAACGACAGAAAACAGCCATAACATGGTCCCTGAAGGTTACTTCAGATATTCTTCACTGAACTCACTGTGTGTCCTGGAAATCAAGAAATCTTTGCTGGAAAATCCAGAAGTGCCAAATATTGCAGTTGCCTTTTGCACCAAGAGGCAGTACAGCAGATCACAATATTTTCGTTTTACAATGATGATGTTTTTAGGGTGCACTAAAACAACTGATAAAGCAACTCGAAAAAGAGAAGAAAAGCCTTCAAAACCAGCTGAAGGATTACGAATGGAAAATAGAGCATGAAGCAAAGGTTTGTCTGTTTTTTTTAAAGCTTTCTTGACCAGTGTTGAAGCTTCTTGATGGCAACAGCTCTTTGCTAAGCAAAGATTTTCTCTTTAATGATGAATATATGCACTAATCCTAAATGAAACTACCACGTAGGTAAAAATCAGTATGCTACTTGTCCACTCTAGTCTACCATATCCATTAGGACTTTGGAGTGAAACACGATCTCTAACCCTAGGAATTGCTGTGTATCTACTGGGATCATCAGTTTCATAGCTAATTCAGCCTGAGGGAGATGACACTTATTTTTAGACATTGTAATTATTTTATGGACTGCTAAGGAGCGAAAGGTTGGATGGACCCAGAAGGATTTGAACTCACAAACTTCCTCTTCCAAGTCTGGTGATCAAGCATCTGATATAACCAAGTAAAATATTAATCTGTCTCTAATAGCAGGTGATCCCATCCACTCAATTCATCACAAATAAGATTTTTTTCCCAGTTATTTTATTGAATTATACAAAGATTATATGCTTTCTTGGATCCCCGTGCATTAGAAGTGACATGATACTTGCAAATAAAATACTGAGGATCTTACTCAGATCCAAGGTCATTCCTTGGCAAGAGGTTTGTGCCAAGCAGAATGTGATTTTCATACATCAATGGCAGATTACACAAAATTGACTCAATTACACTGGCTAGACCTAATTCATTTAGTGAAAAAGCGTTCATTACTAAAGTCTATAGTCCTTGTTTAATTACAATCACTGAGCAGGTGCAAAACTGCAGGCAGCCACGAGCTGCTCTCATTTGACTTGGTCTTGAACTGTAGGCAGGAGGTGGCTAGGGTTAAAGGGTGCTCACCCTCCCCATCAAACTTGATCTATAGCTCACCTCTTTAAGGGGAGTGGGAGTGGAAAGCCCCGAGTCTAGGACGCTACCCTGCCTGAGGGGTGCTATATAAATGTTGAGGCTGAGGACCACAGCCAGTCCTCCAAACCGCCCCAGCCCATGGCTTCTTCTTGCCCCTCTCCCCACTCATCAGTGCCCATTCACTTTTGGTCCATCATTCTGCTTGTTGGGATGCCTTCACCTCCTATGGCCGATGGCTCTATCAATGAAGCCAATGGCTCACCTGTCTTTAAGGGGACTGACCCTTCCCCTGAGTTTTACTCCGTTACACCCCACCACCCAAGAATATTTTCACCCACCTCCCTATGCCTTGGATGGTACTTTAGAAATCGGACTCTTTGAGGTTGTTTCACTGATCGCTAAAAATAGGCATTTTTTGCTGTATCTTTAAAATGTAACATTATTTTTCTTGGAAGTTGTCTAATCTGCAAAGGTCCTCCTGATTTGAAAGGCACAATACAAATGTGATTTGTTGTTTTTGTTGGAAATGTTTTGATCCCAGTATATGGTAGGACTAGGCCTCTATTTTCCTTGAAATCTGGTTATTGTTAGCGTTGGCATTGCAGTGTGGGGAGAAATAGGTGAAAATGAGAGCTATAATAATAATAATCCTTGCATTTGATATAGCGCTTTTCATGTCTTCTTGACTTCTCAAAGCGCTTCACAGAATAGACTGTAAAGTGAATTGATCGTATATTTGTGGGAGAAACACGGCAGTCAATTGCGCACAGGAGTATCCCACAAACAGTCATGGATTGAAAATGACCAATTTTTTTGTTTTTTTTGTTTTGGGGGGATTATTATTAGGCGTGTGGAGTAAGGAAACTTGCCCAAAGTTTCGCCCTGCCGCGAATTGAACCCAGGTGTCTCGCTTGCAAGGCGAGTGCTCTAACCACTGAGCTATGGGGCTCCACAGGAGCTGCAGGTGTGGGACAAATTTGAAAACTCACTGGGTGCAGATGAAGTCAGTTCCACGTCTGTGGCACGAGAAGAACTGAGCCAGAATCTGTTAAAATACATCCAAACCTTAGTAGTTCTATAAAGTACAACAACAAATAACATTTGTACAGTGTCTTTCAAGTCAGAAGGCACTGGACAGTCAATGGCACTGGACCCGAGCTGGGAGTTAGGATCAGGAGGGGTGGAGGGCAGGAAGGGTAGGGGTAGGAGGGTGACCAAAGGCCCAGTTGAAGAGGAGAGTCTTGAGCCCGGCCATGAAGGAAGCAAGGGTGGGAGCAAGGCAAAGGGACTGTGGGATGGAGTAACAAAGGATGGGGGCAGAGAAGCTGAAGGCCCGACTGGAAATAGTGGGAGCGGACAGGTCTATATGGAGTTAGCAGGTCGCAGAGGTGGGGAGGAGCAAAGACGTGAAGAGCTTTGAAGGCAAGGACAATGATTTTATATAAGTGCACACAAGGTACTATATAAGTGCACACTACTGTTTGTTGATATGATTCCATATCTACAGAGCCAGAAAATAAATCAATGAATTGAAGCAATTTTTACTTTTTCAAATAAATTGGTGCAGTTCCATGAAATCTTGAGCAATGAAGTGGAACATAAATTGGCGTACATTGGATTTCAGTTAGCAGGCAGGTCATGAAACTAGCTTCATGGGAATAACATGGGACAGTGTGTACTTATTTGGCATAGCTTGAGATGAGCCATGTTGCACTGTTTACAATAAGTGATAAAATTCATTGGTTTTGTCATGAGATGGCATGGCAAATACACAGAGTGGCAAAGGTGTGGGATGGACTGCCTAGGAAGGCAGTGGAAGAGGACTTTTGTGCACAAATTCAAGAGAGAATTAGGCATCTACTTGGCAAAGAAAACTATTTATTTGTAGGCATAAATGGTAGAGTGGAAAGTCTCAAACAGTCTTTTCCAGTCTTGTGTGCTCCTTGTGCTAATTATTTGTAATCTGAGCACATTTGATGGGGTGGAAGTTCTATCAGTTTCTGGGTAAGATTCCAGCTTTCAGATCCATAGAGTAAGATCACAAACAGAAGACTGAATACGTTTAAATGGGAACCTCTGAGAGTGAAAATGTTTCAAATCACCCTTCAGACACTCTGGGGAAGAAAAATCATTTAAAATGCCTTCTCCCTGAAAGTGAAAACAGATATTTCTATTTGCGTTGAGTGCTTCATTCTATCCCTCCTGGGGGCTGTTGCTGTAGTTAGAAGGGCCTGGCTTCTTTACCAGTTTCGGATAATAATTCTGATGCATTTTCGTGTAATTAAAAAATGAGGTTCCAGCCAGCACTAACTATTGTGGTGGAATTATTGTGCCAGGATCAATCCTAATGGGATCCAGCAGGCTGCCTTTTGACAGGTAGAATTAGGAGTAAATTATTCAAATTATTTTCCTCTGGTTTCTTGGGATATGCACTCTGTGCCCCACGCCCCCCACTAGTCAGCTTCCATTTTAACTGCGACATCACACAAATTGACCTGCTTTCCATATGTCCTCAGCTTGACTTTCAATAAAACTCTTGCCTTTTGTTTTTAATTCATTTCCATCTGCTATTAGAGTAATAGATCAGCGGGATTCTTACTTAACATGCATCTGTTTTCACACAGCTGCAGTGGGTTACCAGAAAGGGTGGATGAGGCTGGACTCTTAAAGAGAGTTCTTCCATCAAAAGGAACAAGGAAGTTTGAGGGGTGACCTGATAGAGGTCTTTAAAATGATGAGGAGTTTTGATAGTCAGTAGGGAGAAATTTCTACTGGTTGGCGAGTCGGTACTCAAGAGCATCAATTTAAAATTGTTAGCTAAATGAGCAGATGGGGAGGTTAGGAGAATCTTTTTCCTGCACAGACTGGTTGGAATATGGAATGCGCTGCTGGGAAAATTGTTTTAGGCAGAATTTGCTTAAGCTTTCAAAAGGGAACTAGATAAATATCTAAAAATAAGTAAACTGCAGGATATGGGGAAAGGGCAGGGACTGAAAGGATTGCTTTTAGTAACCCGCTCGGATGCAATGGGCTGAATGGCTTTCTTCTGTACATTTATAAAGTTCTAACCTCTTTATTCTGCAAATGGGAAGATGATTGCGTCAGTATTCTGAGATCAAACACGCTGGAGCAGGGGTTACCAAACTTTTTTTGCTGCTTCCCCCTTTGGAGATTCATGTCTCATGCATGCTCCCCCTCTTTCTAAGAGACAGTATTTTTTGCATAGAACAAGAGGATGTTATTTTCTCAGCTAATATAAGCATAAACATACAACAGAAAGCAATGTAAATAGCACAGTAACACTACTCTACTACTGAATAAACTGTGAGTTTCATATACCTCTCGCTTGCACTAGGTCTACATTTTTACATCGTATTTACCATAAAAAGCAGCTAATGTTTAATCAAAAAGTACTTACCATTAGATTACATAAAAATACATTTACCTCCCAGGCTCCAACTCTCTTCGCATCACTCTCCACGCAGAGAGGTACTAACAAACACTTATACAGTACCAACATAAATACACACAGTAATACAATAATAAGTTTAAACAGGTACTAACATACATACTTATTCAGTAAATGAAGGAAGGGCATTCCATATTCCAAACACTCTATGTGTGAAAATATTACTCCTAACCTTCCCATTTGCTTGTTTGCTAACTGTCTTAAATTGTGAAAATTGTAATATAAAGCAGCTGTCCTGAGCAGGAATTACTGGTGAACAAAACAACAACTTGCATTTATATAGCTCCCATCGCACAGGGTAACATCCCAGAGCGCTTGTTCCAAAAGTATCAACAAAAAAAATCCTTGCATTTGATACATCATCTCATCACATCATTGAGACAGAATGTATTGTAAACAGAATGTATTGTAAAGTGAATTGCCTGTATATTATGTAATCAAATCAGTTTCCCATTTGCTATCTTTTTGTTGTTGCAGGGTTACCATAAAACCATTGATGAACGTCGCACATACCTAGCTGAAATTGCACAGGTAAGCTGCCATTCACATGGATTAAATATGTTGGAAAACCCGTGATCAATAACAACAACAAGATTTAATTTATAGAATGCCTTTCATGTAGGGAGGACGTCCCAAGGCGCTGGACAGTTGGGTCGGGACCCGAGCAGGGGGGAAATGGTCAGGGTGAAGGGAGGGAGCGAGGAGGGGGTAGAGAGTCGAGAGGGGAGCTGAAGGCACAGTCGAAGAGAAAGGTCTTGAGACCGGCCTTGAAGGAGGAAAGGGAGGAAGCAAGGCGAAGGCACTGGGGGAACAATGGTGACATGTTTAAAGAGATTTAAACAACAACAACAACTTGGATTTACATAGCGCCCTCCACCCCAGACGGCGTCTCAGAGCGCTTTACAGTAACGGATCCCGGGGCCGAGCCAGGGGGAGGGGGAGGAAGGTGACCAAAGGTGCAGTCAAAAAGAAAGGTCTTCAGGAGAGACCTGAAAATGGGAAGGGAGGGAGCGAGACAAAGGGAGTGAGGAAAGCAGTTTTAGAAATAAAAAGTGGGATGTTAAAGATTCATGGGACGTGCTGCTTTACATGGGTCCACATAAAAGGAAGTAATTAAATTCTGTCCCACGGCTGATTTTTTTTTCAAAAAGTGCAGTAGAAATTGCTCAAATTAAATTCTTCACCCTTTCCTACACAAAGGAGACAAAACAAATGCTAAATTCTCCTGGGAAATGGCGTAAATTCCAGTAAATGTCTCTGCGCAATGGGTTACATTTTTTTGGACCGCGCCTTTGGTCACCTTCCCCCCCCCTCCCCCTGGCTCGGTCCCGGGATCCGAAACTGCAAAGCACTCTGAGATGCCGTCCGGCGTGGAGGGCGCTATATAAATCCAAGTTGTTGTTGTTAACATAATGCAGAATTTCAAGACTGACAACTCTCTGGATTTATCAACATTGAGAACCTATCTGGGAAGCAAAACAAAGCAAAACATGAAGATATTAAAACACTTTGGGTACATTCAGAGTTCAGAGCTACTTTGTACCTTGCTCTGATAACTGTAGAGAGTAAATATCGTGGAGAAAAATCCAGAATGAAGCACTCAGTTGTTGATTGCGAATCTGAAAAAAAAGATTAATTAATAGCATGGTTAACAGCAATATTTAAACATTTGAGTGAGCATGCTTGATTGCAGTGCGAAATGTAATGCAGTGATTTCTACTAATCCCCACTGAAACAGTGGTTGCTTTCAGACAGCGGTCACAATGTGGCAATATAATATGGACTATAGGTGGAATTTGAAAAGCAGACCATGACATAATTAATATCACCACAATATCAGTGACTTGCTGCACAGATACAGAAAGCAATGCAAAATAGAAGCAGGTGATTCGGCCCTCTTTGCTTGCACTGATGTTTACACACTCCTCTTATTCCCCTCACGTATATCCCTCTATTCCCATTATTACAAATTTATTTTTGAAATTTATCATTGTCTCTTTAACATGGGCAAAGTGGAGCGTGAGCCCAAGCTAGGAGGGAGTCAATGGATGGGGTGGGGGTTAGGGAGGGTAGGCAAAGATGCAATTAAAGAGGTGGGAGATTGATGGGTTTTGAAGGCAGAGAGAAGGGGTGAGATGGAGGGCTATTGGAAGAGAGTTCCAGACAACAGGGGTAAAGTGGCTGAAGCTCACACACCAATAATAGGGCACAGTTTGGGGAGGGGCGGTGAAATAGATGAGAAATAGTCGAAGCAGTGGATGGGGAGTAAGACTTGCAGAAGCTGGCAGAGGTAGGATGTGGTAAAGCCTTTTTGAAGTCATTTGAAGGCAAGGACAAGGATCTTACATTTGATCTGCTGGGGAATAGGGAGCCAGGTGATGATGGGTGCTACAGAGGCCATCACTATTAATCTGGGTAGTGTTATACTTTTCACAAAATTTCAAATACCATGAAATACCCTTAAAATATCAGGTGAAAATTTATAAGCAAGTTAGATGGTTCAAATTATTGATTATTCAGTATATCCCACTGAACATCTTTTTACATGCATGGATTCGTTTGCGACAAGATTCACCGATAGCAGTCAGTCAATGAGGTAATCTCACTGGTAAGCGAAGAGCTGTCCTTCTGAGATTTCCAATCCATTCACAGAGGTGGGAAACTGTGAGTCAGCTGTGATATCGTGCTTGTTAACAGTAAGATTCTGTGTTGGAGACTCAGGTACTATTAATTAATCCTATTGCAAGCCAATGCTTTTTGAATCCTGTAGGTGTCAGCCTGGCTCAGTTGGTAGCACTCTCACTTTCGAGTCAGAAGACACATGTTGGGACTTTGAGCTCCTATAATCAGGCTGACACTCCAGTGCAGCAATGAGGGAGGAAAGGGGTGGGTGTTGTATTGTTGGAGGTGCCATTTGTCAGATTTGTTCAATGTCAGAAACTTGAACCCAATGACTTTATCTGGGTGTTAACGATCCCATTGTACTATTTGAAAAAGGAGTTTTCTCCTGGTGTCCTAACCATCAGTCCCCCCCAAAAAAAGTGGTCACTCACTTCATGGCTGTTTGTGGGACATTTGCTGTGTGCAAATTGGCTGCTGCATTCACCTATTTTTTAAAAAAAGGCACAACATGTTACAGTAACTCCTGTGAAGCACTTTGGATGTCCTCACAGTGTGAAAGGCGGTATATCAAATGCAAGGATTATTAAAAATGGATACTGTAGTGAATATTGAATAATGGAAAATATTTTGAACATTGTTGTAGAGGATTTAAGACGCTGAATTTTGATAGCTGATGCTATTTAACATACACCATGGGATTTTTGAGGTCAGAAAATAGTGCTGGGTCAGAAATAATGTATCACAAATAAAGCCTCAATATTCAACGTGGTATTTATAACTGGCATGACATAAATAATTTGTCTTATAGCAGTGAAATATGGAATAAGTTTCATATGCTTTGTAAGTACAACATTACCTTAGCCATGGACCGTATCATATACAAAATCCATCATAGCTATTGCAGTGACAATTAGAGTCCATCTTGCACTATATTATAAGCAAGAGAATTTAAACCTTTGCAGTTGTCTAGAGATGAATAGACACTTGAGTAATTTATACTTCACATGACCATCCCTGCTATATGTACTTCCCTGAAAGATATAGTGGGATTCTTGCACCATAATATAATGAGATTGCTATTCAAGAAGCGTCAGGGAAATTGATGACAGGCCTGTAAATTTCCATATTTCTATTTTATCCTGCGATTTCATATTGGAAATGTAAAGAGCTTTCCATCTATTGAGGTGGAAAACATGTTGAACACTGTCAAAAAGAATATTCAATAGTCAGCTCACAAGCGTGTTTAAAACAAGTGAAAAAAAATCACGTTTAAATAATGTGTTTATCTGTTATTTACATTCTTGCTATAAACAGTTACAATTTCCTCATGAAATAGTCAATTGGATCCACTTATTTAGAGCCATTAGATTTAATCTTGTTCAAGGGGTCATATTAAGATTGTTCTGTTCAGTTTAATAGCTTTCTTGTTCAGATTCCAGATTGTATAGTGTTTGCCTGGCCAAATTATACCTTCTAATCTTTGGCAAGCATTGCATGATGTTTATTTGTGTAACCTAGAACAATTCACATCAGGAGGATATCTGAAAGCACTTCACACAGCTGACTGGGAGCCTGAGCTGAAGGGAGGAGTAAAAGATGACTGAAAACGTAGTCCAAGAGATTGGTTTTAAACTGGGTTTTGAAGGTCGGGAGGGGCAAAACAGAGAATGGGCAAGGCAGAGTGTACGTGGGATGAAGTTCCAGAGGCTGGGAGCAGAATGGCTGAAAGCTCGCCTATCGATGGTGGGATGAATTGTTTGGGGGGCATGAAGGAGGTTGGTATGTGTTAAGTGAAAGGAGTGGCCAAGTCAGTAGGGTTGCAAGAGGTTTCTGAGGTAGTGTGGGGCCAGGCATTGGAGAGAAATGAAAGCAACGACAGGATCTTGAATTCGAAGCAATACTGGGGAGAGCAATAATGATAACTCCAGTGCTAGAGGAATGACTTACGAGAAAATTAGATAAGCCAGAGCTCCATATTCTTAAAAGGACATCTTAGTTGCCCTATAAAGGTATATAAAACGCTTTTATAATCATGTTAGCTTTTACTGTCAAAGAAAATGAGCACTTATTGTTTTGGGCAAATAAAGCTTTTAAAGGCAAGTTAGGCAGGCAAATTCAGACATGCGTTGAATGGGGGGGGGGGTTAGATATTCACCAATGAAGATTCAGACCCTTCAAAGATGCTACAGACATTCAGCTACTGGTCTATCTGACCAGCATCAGCATCCAAGGCTGCACTCTCCACCTCTCAAAGCCAGTCAGGAACCTCGGTGTTCTCTTCGACCCTGAGCTGTCCTTTCTCCCCCATATCTGCGCCACAACTGGCACCGCCTTCCATCACCTCCGAAACATCACCAGACTAGGGACTACCTCACCCCTCACGCTGCTGAAACCCTGGTCCATGCCTTTATCTCCTCAAGGCTGGACTATGGGAACTCTCTCCTCGTCGGCCTTCCCGGCACCTCCCTCCACAAGCTGCAGGTCATTCAGAACTCTGCAGCTCATGTACTGTCCCGCACCAGGCTTCGGAACACATCACTCCCACCCTCGCTCGCCTCCACTGGCTCCCCATCCCCCAGAGGATCGAATTCAAGATCCTCATCCTCATCTACAAGGCCATTCACGGCCTCGCTCCCTCCTACCTTTCTGACCTACTATCCCCCTATCTACCTGCCCGTACCCTCCGTTCCTCTGGCTCTGGTCTGCTCCACATCACCCGCCCCAACCGCCCTAGCATCGGTGCCCGGACCTTCAGTCCCTAGGCTCTGGAACTCTATCCCCCAGTGCCTTCGCCTTGCTTCCTCCCTTTCCTCCTTCAAGGCCGGTCTCAAGACCTTTCTCTTCGACCGTGCCTTCAGCTCCCCTCTCAACTCTCTACCCCCTCCTCGCCCCCTCCTTTCCCTCACCCTGACCATTTCCCCCCTGCTCGGGTCCTGACCCAACTGTCCAGCGCTTTGGGACGTCCTCCTGACGTGAAAGGCGCTCTATAAATGGAATCTTGTTGTTGTTGTTGTTGTATCTCCAACTGGCCCTTCCTATTCCAAACTATTTATCCTATTCCTAGGATCACGGTGTTGCTACAGAACTTTGTTCCTACCTCTCCCTTCACTTCTTACTCAAGCCCCTGCAGTCCGGTTTCTGTCCTCTCCGTAGCACTGAGACATCATTGGGAAAGTCAAGCTGTCATCTCACCTTGCGATGAAGATTTCCTGTGGCACTACTCATAATGATTAACTTTCTTCTCTTATCCACCTGTCGTACCACACGTTCCTGGTTCCAATTCCTACATGACCCATGGTCTCCACTTCATTTCCTCCAGTGGGTTTCCCTCTTACCCGCACATTGTCACGTGCAGTGTATTTCAGTTGTAACCTCTGTTCCCACATTGGTCTCATCTAATGTAATCCCCCTTGATGATATCATCCACAACCATGGCGTTGGTTTCCACATACACTCGGATGACACCCAAATCTACCTCTTTCTGAATTGACTCTTTGATATTTGTTTTGACTCTCAGCTCTTTCCTTTCTCACGTCTAGTCTCTGACCAAGACCATTTTTCTCAATATTCACCTAGTAACATAACATAACATGTAGGAGCAGGCCATTCGGCCCTTTGAGCCTGCCCCGCCATTCGATCATGGCTGATCTTCTAATCTAACTCCAGCTAATAACCTGACCCTGCCTTATCCCTATATCCCTTAATCCCTTTTGCAATAAGAAATCTATCCATCTCAGTCTTGAATATGTTCAAGGACTGAGCGTCAACAGCCCTTTGGGGTAGTGAGTTCCATGCATTCACCACCCTTTGAGTGAGGAAGTTCTTCCTCAACTCCGCGCGAAGGGTTGGCCTCTGATTTTAAGTTTGTAACCCCTTGTTTTAGTTTCTCCAATCGGGGGAAACAATCTCCTACTATCTACTCTATCATGCCCTTTTATGATCTTATGGGTTTCTATATGATCCCCTCTAATTCTTCTATATTCTAGAGAATATAGGCCCAAATTGGTCAGCCTATCCTCATAACTCATCCCATTCATCCCTGGTACTAACCTATTAAATCTACGCCGCCCCCCATCCAAGGCAAGTACATCCTTCCTTAAATAAGGAGACCAAAACTGCACAATATTCCAGGTGTGGTCTCACCAGGGCCCTATACAGTTGCAGCGAGACTTCCCTACTCTCATACTCTAATCCTTTCATAATGAATGCTAACATACCGTTCGCCTTCCTAATTGCTGCTGCACCTGCAGACTAACTTTCTGTGATTGGTGTACAAGATCACCCAAGTCCCTCTGGACGCTAACACATTCCAATCTCTCCTCTTCTAAAAAATAACCCGCTCTACTGTTTTTGCTACCTAGGTGGATGACTTCCCTACATTAGGTCACCCGCCTCCATCCCTATCTCACTCCCAATGCCACTGAAAACCTCATTCATCCTTTTGTCGCCTCTGGACTCAAATTTTCAAATCCCTTCCAGCTCATCCAAAAATCTGAAACTGTACAAAACTTTCCATGGCCATGAGCCTCATACCCAGTCTACCAGCAGATTGACTACAAGGTCCTCACTCTCGCGTAGAAATTCCTTCACACCCTCGCTCCTCCTTACTTCTGCAATGTTCACCAGTTTCTCTCACTTCTGCTCACTGCCTTTGCTCAACAAACCAGAGCCCCACCCACTTCACCCCACCATCAGCATCTGAGAATTCTGACACCATTTCCACCTTCTGGAACTCCCTCCCTCAACCTATCCTTCTAGTCTCTTTCCCCCACTTCCTATATATTCTTCAAAAGCCACCTAAAACCTACCTCTTTGATCACATCTATGGTAACCTCTCTCCTACTACCCTCTCCTCACTGTGAAGAGTCGTCTCTGCAAAACACTTAGTCTTCGCTCTTTATGAAATGCACAGTATTAATGCAAGTTGTTATACAAACATTGCAACAGAATGGGTTCCTGGCGTATTTAAATTCCGGTATTCTTAAAGAAAAGGAAGATCTATTTAAAAGGAACAATCCTACTTATCCCACAATGTTAGCATTGCCAGACGATATTTCATTCTATCCTGTTTAATCCAGCCCAGTTGTCTTTAAAAGCTCAAAAACAATTGTTTAAGATTGATTCAATATAAATTTTGAAACATTCACCCTATGTGAAATAAGCCATAGAAGTATAAACAGTCACTACACAGTAAATCCTGTGAAACGCTTTATGTCAAATACACGTATTGTTATTTTAAGATGTTGCACATCAATAAAATGTTACAGGTATAACTAAGTGGAATATGTAATGAGTGTGGGTGACCAGTTTATTAATATTTTACTGGTGAGGATAACCTGCACAGCTCATTATAAAGGGAGTCATTTGTTAATAATAAGGTTATTCTCACCAATCTATAAATAGGCAATTCACATTTCCTCATGGGCACAATTCTGCTGCATTTCAAAACGTGAACATAAATATGTGACATGCAAGCATTTTATTTTCCTTGCTTTCCCTCCATTAGCAGAAAGTGTGATGTTGCATTACTGAGGAGGGTCAGTGACACCAATATACTGAGGTAACATCAACAGGAAGAAGTTGAGAGAAGCCCAGTGATTCATCAGGTCTGGTCCCAGGAGAATCCCCCACTCCACCCACCACACATTATTCACGAACATCATTCCTGATGTTGGCCACTCGGTCCTCCCCTTTAGGAAGCATAAAATCCATGTGTCCAATTTGAGGTGGGGAACAAATTATTCCTCCCCATTCAATGAAGGTTGTCGAGCAGGTTCCAGGAGATCTGAGCTACCAACACCACCAACAACTCGCCCTTCACACGGGGCAGTGTCTTGCAGCGCCTAACAGTGTCAGAGCCTGACACTGCAAGAAGGGCAAGGAGCGGGTGACAATAAACACAGGCGAAGAGGAAGGTCTTTAGGGAAAGGAGAAAGCAACACATAAACAGCGTTTAATATCCTTCAGTACCAGCATTATTATAAAGCAACTGACATCACACGGCAGAACTGGTTTCTAGTCTGTAGCTAATGCTTCATAGTTCTGGCAAATGCTGTTGCAAAATTTATGTTTTTCTTAAACATTTGGAGCCATCATAATGGAACGGTGTTAGTTATAAAATGAAACACTTTCACAATAAAATAAATGCAATTGTTGCCATTCTGTGCTAAATGAAATTATCTCTGGGGGGGAAATAAAGCCCCATTTTTTCTACCAATGATCTAGATATCCTTATCTATTGAAACATCAAAGAAGCAGCAAGCAATGGGATCCAGAGAAAAACAAGCTTTGAAGTAAGTATTTTTAGCACTTAATTTTCCTTGGTCTCTCCAAGCAATTTTACAAAATTTTTTGATGTAGAATTTTAATTCAAAAAAAATTCATTGACGTCTGCACTTCTCTTATTCTTGCTCTTGAGAATTTAAAGATTAGCAAGATGCAGCAAAGAAGAGCAGATGGCACAGCAAAGTACCTGCACAATTGTGCATGCGGGGGTGGGTGGGGGGAGGAGAACACTTGCATGTGGAGCCAAGGTTACATTTGATGAATGCTAGATTCTTTGGTTACAGCACTGAAAGTTATCTATCTGATGAAGTAACTGGGGGAGGGGAGAAATCTTTCTACTCTGAGCTCGAGTCAGAAGAGCAGAAGGCACAGAGAGAGAAAATAGGACCGGAGAAAATTGCATATATTTGGTGGAGAAAACTCAGAGGGATTTGAAAAGCAGAGGTGGAGGGGAGAAGAGGAGGGGGAGAATGGGTGTGCAGGATTTTTTTATTTCTATTGATACATCAATTAAATTGGTTTAATTATGTTACGTAAATTTAGAAGCGCTGTATTAAGATGCTACAATGGTTTGTGAAATCAGTGCAAATGAATATATAACAGACAAATCTGTTTATTTCAGAGGAAAGTACAATGTGCCAACTACTCACAGGATATTAGATCTCAAGAAAGGACCAATTAAAAAGACTGCAGCAGTGAAACAGCTCCCAAAATTGAAGCATTGACGTTGGAATATTATGGAACAGACGCAGCGTTCTCTATGTGAAAGAAACATGTTAATTATAGTATTTATGCCCAAATTTAGAAGAGTTATTTAACTGTCACATCGCCTTTATTGCAGATATATTTAGTTTTTTTCAACCTGGGGTGATTTTAGGAAGTTTAAATAATATTTTACAGATTTAGTTATTTTTAAACCGTATTAGTCATGCTTGAAAAGTTTTTCTTCATTTGATTCCAACTCCTCAAATGCACTCTTTGGCTGGGAATGAGTGCAACTTGAATTATTATTCTTGTCAAAAATAATTGTTCAGGCTCCACAGCAACCCACTGAGTCACTGTAGAGACCTCTCCCCAATGCGTTTTGGGAGAACATCATTCTTGCCTTTAGTTTTACAGTCTGTAAGTAGTTGCATTTTTCTCCTTCAGAAAAATCTTTCAGTCCCACTCAGATATTCTAAAGTTAGTGTACACTTCTTGGGAGATACTAGTCAAAAGTGTCCATTTTCTTTCTGTTTAGTCTGTAGAGTTCTTAATTTCTTAAGCATTTAATCAAAATAATAATAATAATCCTCGCAACAAAAACAGAAGTCACTGGGAACACTCAGGAGGTCAGGCAGCATCAATGGAGAGAGGAAAGTGAGTCAACGTTTCGGGTCCACGACCCTTCATTGGAACTGGGGCAAGTTGGGAGGGAGAGGCTTTTAAGGACTAACAGAGAGGGGGAGGCAGGGCAAGGAAGACAAAGGAGAAAGTGGAGTAGAGGACAGGGGATGATGGGTTAAAGAGGTGTTAATAATGCAAGACAAAGGTGGGGAAAAAATAACAAAGCAAGCAGACCAGAGAGAGAAAGGGTATGTCTGGGACCCAGACGATGTGGTAATGGTCACAGAAGAAGAGGAAGGTGAGCTGTTATGGTCTGAGATTGTTGAAATCAATATTGAGGCCAGAGGGCTGTAAGGTCCTAGCAGATAAATGAGGAGCTGTTCCTTGAGCTTGCGCTGAGGCTCAATGGAACAGCGTAGGAGACCGTAGATGGAGAGTTCAGAGTGCGAGTGGGAGGGAGAGTTGAAGTGGCAAGAAACCGGATGCTCAGGGTTGTGCTTGAGGACACAACAAAGGTGTTTGGCAAATCGGTCACCCAATCTGTGTTTGGTCTTCCCAGTGTAGAGGAGACCCCATTGTGAGCAGTGAATGCAGTGAACTACATTGGTGGTAGTACACGTAAATGACTGTCTCACTTGAAAACTGCGTTTGGGGCCTGGACAGTGGTATGGGAGGAGATGAAAGGGCTGGTATTGCATCTCCTGCGCTGGCATGGGAAGGTGCTAGTGGGAGGAGAGCAAATCTTGGTGGTGATGGAGGAATGATCCAGGGAGTCACGGAGGAAACGGTTCCTTCAGAATGCTGAGAGGGGAGGGGAGGGAAAGATATGTTTGGTGGTTGGTTCACGCTGGAGGTGCTGGAAATGGCGGAGAATTATTTGTTGGATGTTGAGTCTGGTGGGATGGAAGGTGAAAACTAAGGGGACCCTATCACAGTTAGGGCCCCCCTAACCGTCTTCGAGACGTCTCAAAGCAGGTCACAGAATATACTTTACAATGAATTGACTATATTTTGTCGGCGAAGTTTAAGTTACATTATTGTGACTAACAGTTCAACTAAACCTGTTAACTTTACTTTGTCTTCATAAAATTAACGCGTAATGAACAAATTGTTGTTTTGAATAAAAGAGTTTTTAATAAAGCTCAGAATAGCCTTTATTTAAATTGAAAAAGACAGGCTCCAGCAGTATAGTTTATGCTGACACTTCAGTTCCTTCACTGTACCAACATCGTTCCCACTTGTATGAAAATAGTTTATTTTACACTTTGGCTTAGTTGGCAATAGTAGTGCCAACTGTAACAAACGGATTCTTACTTACTGCTAGGTGAACAGAGAGAGATGTGTGGAGGAAGGAAACTTGCCCAACATTTTGCCCTTCCAGGAATCGAACCCATATCCTCTCGCTTGCGCGGTGAGTGCTCTACCACTAAGCTCCAGGACTCCAGATTTGGTAAGCGGGGTCTCCTTCGAGCTGAACTGGCTCCAAGTTGACATGCTTGGCAATGGAATGTCAGAACCGAATCAACCCTCTGTGGTAGTCCGGTTTGTGAGCCAGGCGGGACTGTAGTATCACAGCCTCCCTGGCTCCAGGACCTGGAAGGGCAGTCAAGTCACTGGGAGTCATCCCACTCAGTTCCTGTTAACCCTGCAAGCCAAACAGGTAGGGTGGTCCTAGCCGGACAAGCAGCAGGATAGCTTGCCAGACAGCTAGATCAATGGTTTTAGCTGGTTAGACTCCAGCAGTTTCCGAACACAAATTCTGGGGTCCACAAGCCTTGACTCTTGCCAACCTGTCCCTAATACTTTCTGGAATTAGGAAAGCAGGATGTGTCCCTCTGGGGAGAGAGTACACATTTCATTTCTAACAATCTATCTCTGGCATTTCCATGTGTAGGTGGGACGGTTGGAATTACACAGAGACAGCGCTTGTCAAAATCACAAATGACATTCTTTCAGTGACCAGGGCTCCCTCTGCCTCCTCATCCTCCTGGTTCTCTCTGCCGCGTTTGATATAGTCGATCGTGCCATCTTCCTACACTGCATCTCCTCTCTCATCTACCTTCGTGGGACTGCGCTCACACGGTTCGAGTTCTACTTAACCAACCACCTCCATTTCATCTCAGCAAATGGTTTCACCTCCCGCGCCCACCCAGTTACCTGCAGGATACCCCAGGGCTCCATCCTTGTCCCTCTTCTTTTCCTTATCTATATATTCCCTCTGGGCGATGTCATCTGCAGACACGGGGTAAACTTCCACATGTATGCAGATGACACACAAATCTACTTTGCCTCTTCCAGTACCAACTCCAGGTTCGCCCATGTTCTATCAGCTTGTCTGGCAGACATCAAGGCCTGGATGAGTGTAAACTTCCTGCAACTGAATATGGACAAGACGGAAGCCATACTCCTTGGCTCCCATCAACGTTTTCACTCCTACAAATCTAATCTCCTCAACTTCCTTGGGCTCTCCCTCAGACTCACCAAACCAGTGCACAACCTAGGCGTCCGGTTTGACCCCCAACTGTCCTTCCTCCCTCACATCCAGTTCCTGACCAGGACCGTACAAGACTATTTTAAAACCTCCTGTAGTTCTTACTGTCATTATTTGTATTAAATTACTAATAGTGGTGTTCATTATGTAACTTGCAACACTAGAGCCAATTTTCACTTAGTTCCATTTGTACCACAGGTGAAATTTATTATTGCTCTCAGGAAACCAGATCAAACTCTAATAAACAAGATGAATAGACACAATCATTCCAGTCATTAGATTTCCAAAGATGATTTCAGCAGAAGGTAATAACCTCATTACAAAATAATTATGACCAAAGAGCTAGCCAGCCTCCAAAGTAATCTGCAAAATAACAGCTTAAAAAAATTCATTAAAAATTTCCTCATTCATTTATGCTTTGCATGCCATGCAACTATTATTAATCCTTTTAAACCTAATTGATGCATCAGAACCAGATGGGCTGGGTTTGAAGAGGATCTGTGACAAGAAATTAGATTCTTGAGGAGATGCTGTACACAAAGAAAAACCTTGTGTTTTTCTTTGTGTACAGCATAGGGCTTTTATAGGGCCTTTATGCCAAACAGAGCTTTACTATAAATTACCATCAAGAATAGATGTTTTGTAGGCAAACACAGCTGCCACTTTGTGCATAGTTAGATCCCATAAGCCTCAGTGAGGTGAAAGACCAATGTTTTCTGGAGGATTGTTAATCAGGACAAAAGGGACAGTGAGCATCATGTAAGATGCTTGATACAGGTGATAAAGGGTAACAAGGTGTTTGTGGTGAATAACTGGGTATAAAGAGTTAGAAGTCCTTTTGAGGGATACCTCTAACTGGAGCTGTGCAAGTTTGGGGAATGATCTGAGGGGAGGGGAAAATATTGTAGCCAAAAGGACCCTGGAATTCCACTGGAAGGGTTACAGCGACTAAAAGGGCACTATGGTGGACAATCTATACTGTTATTCCATTTGATGAGAGCTTGGTATTATTCAGTACACTTGTGGAAGAGAGTGTAGTATCTCATCTCCTCTCCCCTCAGTTAACCTCTGATCGCGCCATCAGTCCACTACAACATTTCTACTGGAGAAGTACTGCAATAATTGTCAACATTTAAGATAAATCTCTAAAGGAGGATCTTTGCAGCTGATTCCCGTTTGGTTCTTTTCCAAATGTATATGTAGTACAGCTCCAGCAAAGACTCACACAGGATTAACTGCAAGACTCGCTTTCAGACCAATAGTATAATTTCTTGGAACACTTACCTTTGCATATAGAAGTTGCAATTCGGAATAAACTAGAATTGTTAGAGAATTCAGGTTAGAGAAAAATCAGTCAAGGAAGTTTGACAGGCCCATTGCTTTTCTGATTGTAGTTTTGAGGTCAAACCTCTCTTGTAACTATCACTAAATTGTACACTACTGTTAGGAATATTACAACGGTTTGTGAAATTGTTCTGCTAAGAATAAATACGAACAGTTAAAAGCAATCATTGTTACAGTACCAAACAAAATACAATGTGTATCCATTTTAACACTTAGTCTTCCAACAATAGATTCAATACTACTTGTACTATTCTATGTGCACACAAATGAACTAGCTTCCTTAAAATTTGGGAAGGAAAGGAGGATAAAATTAGAATTAAAAATAAAATCGCATTTGATATAGCACCTAATCACGTCTTCGAGACTTCTCCAAGTGCTTCAGAGAATATACTGTAAAGTAAATTGACAGTATATTTTGTGGGCTAATTTTGCGCATCGGTGCCCCACAAACAGTCGTGGATTGAGTGACCAAATTATTATGATTTTTTAAATTTTTTTTTGAAGGGATTATTACCCCTGGAAAAGCAATCTGCCAATCGACTCACAACCTGCTTATAGAGGCATGTGAAGTAAGGAAACTTGCCTTGCATTTCTATCCTGTAAATGTCTAATTTCTCTGTGGTCCTTAAATATTCATCATTTCTTCAATAATCTGAAAATGTTGGGAGATGGCAGAAGAAATAGAGTTCCTACCAATGATTGTTATTACATATCTAAATAAATACATACAACAGGTTAATCGGCATCTAAAAGAAAATTACAGATAATTTGGTTTCAGACATGACTGTTCATCGGAAAAACAGTGGGCTAAGGACTCCATACAAATGTCATAACCCTGGTTGAGTAAAGCTAATTTGGGACATAAATATTGCAAATGTGCATGTACAAATGAACCAGAGAAATTAACAAAGAGTATGAAAATTAAAACATTAATAGCATCCACTAACTTAATTGCTACTTCAACAAGTTCATTAGTGGTTTCTGCACAGGTAGCCACTCCACATTGCATATTGAATGGGGTGTTTTTTCCAACCACAAAAAAGTGGAGCTAAGGAAAGCATGTCTACAGAACCATTAGGTTAACCGTTCCAATTCCCAGAAGATCCAGAGTTCCCATGATAGACAGGAAATGTTAAGACAAAATAGACACTAATTGACTGATGCAGGAATTTCCCAGCCTCATTT